GGAACGACAGTTTTCTCCATGGGAACGGACTCTGCGGGTGATGTGGCTGAGAGCCGAGGGGATGTAAGCAAAGGGCGCAAGTTCAGCATCCGACACGACGCATCATCTTGCCTCGCGGACCTGTCGATTGGTCGCAATGCCAGGGGTACGCTTTCCTGTATTCATCCGAATGGACTAACAAGCCCCGCATCGGATCGTGAATCTCATGCCTCCTTCAACGAGAGGCTCACGCAGTCGTCGTCGAGGGGTATTCACTCCTTCGTTGGCCATCATATGGCCTCTAGAGTCCACTGAGTCATCGCGTCAGCGGTGGACCCTTTAGCTCGGCCAGATGTCTGCTTGAGCTTCACCCCAAAACCCATTCCTCATCAGGAGCCCTAACCTTTGACAATGGGTCAATTGTATATGACGTCGCCAGGCGCAATGCGCGCGCACACGCAAGTCTTCGCATCGGCCCCAGATGGACTCATCGAGCTGCTCTCGGCCCGTCTCCCGGCTTCGTTGACAATCCTGCGGCGCTTGCAGTTCGCCGCTCGCGCCGCGCCGCCCTCACCTACTGGGAGAGTGATCTTCGTCTCTGACCGAGAACTCACTCCCGATGAGGCGGCGCCGAAGCCCAGCAAGTTCACCGTCCTGTATGGCGACTTTTCCGACTCGACTGAGACGCAGATGTTCATGTACTCGACGGTCGAGGACAAGCCCCTCGCAGAGCACACCGCCGAGGACCGAGCCGAGTACGAGGGGCAGCTCCTGGCCGTCGTTGACGAGCTCATCCACCTGCGCAATGGATTCGATCCAGAGGGCAAATACCCGACCGCGTTGCTCCTAGGCAGCTTGCATGCGGACGTCCGCGCCATCCTGGAGAAGACGGGTAGGGTGCTCCCGCGGCCGACCGGGGCTTACGACAAATGGCTGTTTCGGGTTGAGGACTTGCCTCGGGCCGAGTCGCCGCTGCCAGACGGTATGCATTGGGGCCACGCGAGCTTCTCGGACTGCGAGATTGTGGTTTCGCGGACAGACATTCCGCGAACAGCGTAAGCAACAACGCAATCCCCTGGGCAACAACAGGGGTTAACATCTTGCTCCAGGGCGACACTCTCCAAGCTGCCAAGCTCCCTCATTAGACTAGAGGATGGCACACCCATAGCGTGGGCGTTTCTAGGTAAAGCCCAGAAGTACTGTGACGTGTGGGGAGCGAGCGTTGAGCTGACCCGAGCGACTAGGCCTCGATGGATCATTAATAAGTGTGCATTGCGAGGTACGTTACCGTCTGGAGGCAAAGCCTTGCTGGAAGCTCGCGCAACTAACCTTTGACAGGATGGGCATCGAAGAATGGGGCTGGCCAAGAGAGTCGCGGGTAGACTGCTCCGCGAGAACGCAGAAGAGCTGGCGCCTGACGGCTGGTCCTGCGCGGACGTGTCTGCGGACAACGTAGCGAGTCGGGCCATGTGCAAGAGTCTGAACGGCAAGCCCAACTGGGTGGTCTCATGGTGAGTGGACTTGCCCTGTGCAATTGACTCCATTGCGATGACGGTGGAGGAGTAGAGGCTAATCGTTCTCGGCGGCAGGATCTTGTTGGAACTGACCGAAACGGTCAGGGCATAGATTATGTTGGAGTTGGATTTAGGCGCGAGGCCAGAGAGTCCCGGCTGACTCGGTGCAAGTTGCGGACTTGGCTCCGGTAGGGTCGCACGATATGGATGCCTGGGGCGAGCCACCCCGAAAGGTCGCGCGACCATCTTGAAGTCTGCGCACCTAGATCTGCAAAGATCGCAGAATTGACCAAGATTCCGGGAAAAAAGTCTCAGCCTCCATCTGAAGCCTCTTTCACGCCAACCTCAGCCACTCCATAGTCCTTATAGATTAATATAGTATAAAGTCCGAGGAGATCCCAGACCCAGACCCGAATGTTCTCTCCACTCTGCTCCTCTACGTCTACAAACCTCATCCACTCATAGGTCTGGCTATAATAAATTTTGTCCCATTCTTCGGTTGTAAAACTTGTCAGGAAGTTGATTCAGGTCGTCAAGCAGCTGCGAGTCCAGAAGCACAAATGTAGTATACCGCGGTCCTCCCCGAGGCTGGGGTATTGACTCGATCCACTTGCTCAAGTACCGTCTCATCTCGCCGACGCTTGCATCGCGAAGCTCCGAGTCGTCAATCAGAATATTGTGAAACCGCCTCATCAGCTCGGCATCGGCGGCCAAATATGTCGGGTTCGAGGGGTACGACTCAGCACGATGCATCTCGACATTCGTCGCAAAGAGCTGATGCAGCTTTGCCATGGCTTGAGCGACACGCTAGTCATCGCCTTCCCCGAAGCAGGTTCGGACCACGAAAAAGCCCCAGCAGCCCTTGGAATGCAAGTTGCAGTTTGAGTCCCCATAGCAGATTTCATTCAGCAAGTACTGACTGCGATCGTTTTAACGATAGCCTTTTACGGCTGTTTCCAAGGATCGCCGTAGCCGAGACTGACGCGGGAATTCTGGGCGTTGGTGTCTGACATGTCAGCGTCACAGGTGTGGTCTGGGGTGAGAGGACGACAATCAGGGGCCGCAAGCAGGATGAAGAGAAACAATCATGTCTGGCGGGGGGCACATGGGTAGCCGATGCTGGAGAGGCGGGATAGGCACCAACCTCCGCTCATCCGTCTTTCGGCATAACTAAATGTCAACCAAGGGGGTAATCCTTTCGGCCTTTGGAATCATGAAAGACCGCTCAACGGCCGTACGGTTCCAGGACGTGACCACGCCAGCTTCGCCCCTCAAGTATCGGCTTGCGCAAGGCTCCCGTTTTCCTTTGTGTTGCATTCTGATATTTGCGCACTCCGTACTTCGTACATGCGGGCGTGTGGACTGAAGGATTTGCGCGAGGCTGAGTTCTGCCGTGCCCACTTTGAATGTCTCCGGAGTCCGGACGCAAAACGAAGAAACACTACCCTCTCTTCTCCCAGCCGTAGCAGCTTGGTGCAAAAATCCCTCGGTGTGAGAGCCTGGGAAACAATCTCGAAAAGCTTCTACCTGTAGCACAGCACGTCATGCGCTTAGCCAATCAACAAATCTACGTTGACGTGTCGGTCGGCGACTTTTTTGGTCCAAGTCTAACGCAGCGCGTCTACCATGGGTCGGAAGAGCCTCAGAACATGATCAGGGCGGGATCGACGGGTGGCGTCGCCGCAACCCCGGGCCGGCGGGCCTAGTCGCATGCGTTCCGAGACTTAATCTGTAAACGAGCGCCCCTGAAAGGCTACTCCCTAGATCGAAGCTGGCGTCATCCACGTCCTTGACTCCTCCGCCGGTATCAAAGGTCCCTTGCCAAGCCCGTGCCGTAATTGCAGGACATATCTCGTGCTGAGAGCGTATGGCGTTGCTTGTATGGCGACCACAGATCCCTATCTTTTTGTAGCCACTGACCTACGCAGATGGTATAATCTTTTGGACCTGATACATCACAACGATGAAATGGCAGTCCTGGTGACTTGAGATTTAATGATTCGGCTCGGTGTTAACCGGAGGAGGCGTGAAGCTCGCGTGTGTGGGTGCATGCATGCTCACGACACAACAAGCCCAGATCAAAGCTGGTCCGGTAGCGTCTGGTTCAGCCACTGCCGCGTAGCCAAGACGTCACCTGTCCGATAGGCAACGGTATCAGACGTCGACGCAGGGGGCGGCAGTTGACCGAGCGCGGCTCGGAGATGCATGACAGATGCTGGCATCCTCCACGTCGGTTGGGCGCGGACCACTCGTCCATGTCGTACGCGCCTTCTCGTTATTAGCGAGATCGATGAAATCGCCGCTGAGTAATATAGAAGTCGCAGGACAGTATCACAGTCTGCATATACGTTCATCCTAGCCTCTCTAAACGTCTTCCTGATCAGATCACAATGCGACGTTGTAACGTGGGAGGCAAATAAGCCGGCACAACTATCCATCCTGCAAACCAGCAGCAGGGGGCAACGCATCCTGCACTTCGCGTGGAGTTTGCTGGAAAAGGGAAAAACCGATTTGTAGTGGTGTACTACAGCTCATTACACAGCCCGGGCTTGTGATTATAGATCATTCTTGGAAGCGTATCTGGACGTAATGGACGCGGCCTGCCCTTTGGCCATGGTGTCGCAGGGCTTGCACGGCAATGACTGGATAGATGGACAACTTTGCCCCGATGCGGATCGCCACGTACGAGACCGTGGCTGCGAAAGACAAGCATCAACTGCCCCAGACCCGCAATACGTTACACGTATCGTGGTGCGGATTACCTTGCGACCCCAGGAGGATACAACCAAGACCGCGAGTAGCTGAGTACTCTCCGGTGGACCAGCCTGCATCGTTGCATGTGCCCCTGAGCCGAGCCAGCATAAGCCATCCATAGCTGCACATGGAGCTCAGGACATGTTGACTGGTGAGGCTGAATGCCGCAGAAATCGACTTGCCGAGCCGAGAGCCGCACCTGCCTGGTTAGCGTGGGGGCGTGGTGTGAACCTCGAGCAGGATGACTTGATCTGACAGCAAGGCGGCTGCGGCGTGATGACGATGGAAGGCACGTCCTGAAGGACACAGCTTTTCGTGAGACCGCTTGCGTAACGTCATGCTGCAATTTCCATCTCATGAACAGTATATGAGAGATCCATGAGTTATAAGAACAGGGACACAAGCTCATGGAAGACGGAGAAGGCAAGACAAGAAGTGGGAGATGGGTGTCGGAGAAAGTTGTTCCTCCAGCTGTACGTGAAGCATCACGATGCCCCACCCCTTTGGTCAGCAAGATACGCAATTATCCCGGCTTATTGCCTCGTACGTAGGTTCAGTATCCGTGAGAGTCACCCTGGACGCGTCGGTTCTACTCAGATAGTTGATCGGGTGCTGCCTGCATTACATGCGGCTTCTGAACTAATGTTGGGTATAAAACAGGCAGACGCGCCGTGTAATGTCCTTGAGTGTTCCATAAGACTGTCTTCCTTTGTTGCTCACGATAATATTTTGCATCTAGACGCAATACTTATCATGTCACAAGCGAAGGTTCTTTACTTCTCCGGTGAGATCCCTCAGGGAAACCCCGAGGGTGACCAACGAGAGCTGTTCAGGAAACTTCATCTCCTGAGCAAGGAAAGGAACCATCCAGTATTGGCGTCGTTCCTTGACTGCGTTACAACGGCGGTAAAAGACGAATGCAGTCACCTGATTCGGGAACAGAGAGATCTGCTGCCGTGTTTCGAGAGCGTACTGGATCTGACGGATCATGTCGTGGAGCTGAGGAGGACTCCGCTCGGCGCCGCCGTCGAGCGAGTGCTCGTCCTTGTGTTCCAGCTAGGCAGCTTCATAGCGTGAGTTTACAAACTCATCCAACGGGCACCCTTCCTGACATGTCACAGATACCACGAGGCTCATCCATTAGAGTTCAACTTTCAGCCAACCAATACGTCTCTCATTGCGAGAGGCCCAGGCTTGCTCTCGGCAGCGGCGATCGGGCTCTCTCCCAGCATATCGATGGTTCCGGCCATTGCCGAGGACATTACGCGGGTCGCGTTCCGCTTCGGAGTCGTCGTTGACCAGGTGTGTCGGTCTCTGGAAAGAACACCACAAGAGATCAATGCCGAGGGGGCGTGGGTCTATTGTGTCCATGGTGTGGACGAGACCGACGCCAAAGAAGCAGTGAAACGCTTCAACATTGACAAGGCAGGCCAAGTCGCAAGAGCACAATCCCCAATCCATACTAACACTTGACACTCACTAGGCATACCCTGAGACAAATATGGCCTCCGTGTTCAACGTCGATGGAAACTCTGTCAGCATTGGTGGCACCCCCTCGACCCTCAAGGCTCTGTTCTCAGAATCCGAATACTTTCTAAAAGCAAAGCACGTACCGATGAAAAAGGTCCAAGGGATGTGGCACGCACAAAACGTCTATGGCATAGAGCATGTCAAGCAACTCGTCCCGAAAACAGAGCAGGGCCGCCGGCTGCATTTGCCCTTGTTCTCACCAGTATCGGGACTCCCGTTTGACGCCACAGACGCAACGAAACTCCTCGAGCAGATCATGGAGGAGATGTTGACACAAACGATCCGCTGGGATCGGACCATCGATGGTGTTACAAATCGGTTAAAGAAGATGTCGCCTGGTTCCATCCAGCTCATTTCAATACAGCCGTCACACTACATCGGGGCCCTGCTCGACCATTGGCGAGGAGAGGTTCCTGAGGCATCATTGTCAAGCCAGGACATGATGTCGGCTGTCATGGGCCTCACCCTGGGTAAGAGTCGGCCGAGAGACGCAAAATCGTCCAAGATAGCCGTCGTGGGCATGTCTTGTCGGTTCCCTGGAGGAGCAGACGACACAGAAAAGTTTTGGGAGCTGTTAATGCAAGGGCGAGACGTCCATGACCACATCCCCCATGACCGCTTCGATGCGCAAACTCACGTCGACCCGTCGGGAAAAACGCCAAACACGTCCAAGACATCGTACGGCTGCTTTGTGGACAACCCTGGTCTATTCGATGCCATGTTTTTTGGCATGTCCCCGCGCGAGGCTGAACAAACCGACCCGATGCACCGACTTGCCATAGTCACGGCATACGAGGCGCTTGAGAGGTCTGGCTACGTTCATGGCCGGGGCATACACCGCCGGCGCGTGGGTACATTCTACGGCCAGGCAAGTGACGATTACCGCGAGGTAAACTCCGGCCAAGACGTGGGCACATATTTCATTCCCGGAGGATGTAGGGCGTTTGCGCCCGGCCGCATCAACTATGTCTTCAAATTCTGGGGCCCAAGTTATAGCGTCGACACAGCTTGCTCATCCAGCTTGGCGGCCATACAAACCGCATGCACTTCTTTATGGAGTGGAGATGTCGACATGGCCATTGCTGGCGGCCTCAATATCCTCACCAACTCAGATGTCTACGCCGGGCTGAGCAACGGCCACTTCCTATCGCCCACCGGTGGCTGCAAGACGTGGGACGAAGGGGCTGATGGCTACTGCCGGGCAGACGGAGTAGGCAGCGTCATTCTAAAGAGGCTAGAGGATGCCGAGGCCGACAACGACAACATTCTAGGGGTTGTGCTATCTGCAGCCACAGATCACTCGGCCGAGGCCGTGTCCATCACACACCCCCACGACGTTGCGCAGGCGCATCTATACACCCAGGTTGTACGGCGTGCTGGAATCGATCCGCTCGCCGTTGGATACGTCGAAATGCATGGGACAGGAACCCAGGCAGGTGACTCAAACGAGATGAGGTCCGTCACCAGTGTTTTCGCCCCTGGAGCCGACGGGCATGCACACATGCAGCGCCGCCAGTCGCCACTGTACATTGGAACAGCAAAGCCGAATGTCGGCCATGGAGAGGCTGCTGCGGGAGTCATCTCATTCATCAAGACCATGTTGGTTCTTCAGAAAGGAATGATTCCTCCCCATGTTGGCATCAAGACGCGGCTGAATCCGGCTTTGCCTCAGGATCTGGCCAAGAGGAACGTGGTCATCCCCTACACAGCGAAGCCCTGGGGACCAAGCATCGAAGAAACGCGACTCGCTATGGTGAACAACTTTGGAGCCGCTGGGGGGAATACGTCCATCATCGTCGAAGAGGCGACGCCGCGACCGAGAGTAGGCGAGGATACTCGACCAGCACATGCTCTCACGGTGTCGGCAAAAACAGCCAATTCCCTGCAGGCAAACCTTGTGCGGCTGGTAGAATACATTCAGGGTCACGAGGACCTGTCCATCGCAGACCTGGCATACACTCTAACAGCCCGAAAGATGCATTACAACTATCGGGTGTCCATCATGGCGTCCACCCGTGTTGAAGCCATTGAGCAGCTCAGGCCCCATATCGAAACGTCTCTGGCTCAAACGCCACATTCGGGCAAACAAGCTCCCGTGGCGTTCGCGTTCACAGGGCAGGGTGTGTTCTACATTGGTATAGGCGCGCGGCTATATCGAGACGTTCCCGGATTCCGCCAGCAGCTTGACCAACTTGATAGCCTGGCGCGGCGGCAGAGATTCCCGTCATTCTTGTCCATCGTCAATGGGACCTGCCTCCCGGAGGACGTGTCGATCGTCTCCATGCATATGGCCATAGTGTGCGTCGAAATTGCTCTGGCGCGACTGTGGGCATCATTCGGCGTCAAGCCGAGTGTTGTCATCGGACACAGCTTGGGGGAATATGCGGCACTCAATGTGGCGGGTGTCCTGTCCGACAGCGCCACCGTCTTCCTCGTTGGCACTCGCGCTGCACTTCTGGCTTCAGCATGCACCCCCAACACTCATGGCATGCTCTCCGTACGTACTTCCGTGGACAACGTGACGCAGGCTGCGGGCGACATCCCGTTCGAGGTTGCCTGCATCAACAGCCCTAACGAGACGGTGGTTGGTGGCTCGCTCGCCGACCTGGACGCCCTGTCGGCTTCTCTCGCCACTCAGGGTTACAAGGCCATTCGATTGGACGTCGCGCATGCCTATCATACCAGCCAGATGGACGCCTTGCTGGACAGCTTCATCATGCAGACCCGGTCGGTTGTTTGCAAGAAACCCAGCATCCCCATCATTTCCCCTCGAAGCGCCCGGGTGCTCACGCCTGACGATGCTGTCGACGTATCCTATCTTGCTGCTGCAACCAGGGAAACGGTGAACTTTGCTGGGGCTCTCAATGCTGCATGGGAGGCTGGGGTCGTTTCGAGCGCCACCATCTGGCTCGAGATGGGACCCCATCCCATTTGCAGTGGCCTCATAAGCCGGACCCTGCCCGAGGCTGGGTTGATCTGCCCAAGTCTGCACCGAGACAGTGACGATTGGATTACCCTAGGCAAGGCACTTAGTGCCCTGTATACTGCTGGGATTGATGTTCACTGGAACGAATATCATCGACCGTTCGAGCCGGCGCTACGGCTCCTCGACACGCCGACGTACGCGTGGAATAACAAGAACTATTGGATTCAGTATCGCGGCGACTGGAATCTGACGAAAGGACGATCTGGGCCCGAATCCGTTCCTGAAGCAGGCGTCGTCGACTTCAAAACGTCCAGCATCCACCGAGTCACCTCAGAGCAGTACAGCGGATCCAAGGCCCAGGTATCGGCGGTATCGAGTATGACTGACCCGGTCCTCGAGGGTGTGATTGACGGACATGCCATGAATGGCCATGGAGTGGCTTCCTCGGTGAGTTATTTGGGCCTGCTGTCCATCCGGTCACATTTAGTGCCCGCGCACTAACACCACATGTACGCAGTTCCTTCACGCGGAAATGGGTTTCACGCTGGCGAAGCGCATCTACAACCAGAGCTTCTCGGAATTGACCGCGACCGGTATCAACGTGGCGGATTTCGAGTATCACGAGCCTGTTGTCAAGCAGCGTAGAACACAGGACACGCAGCCCATCCAGGTTACCGCAGAGGCCGACCTGGACAAGATGGCCGTCAACATTAAGTGGTTCAATCCCGCCAATGAGCTCTGGTACTGCCATGCGACGGCGTTCTACGAGGATCCCACGTCCTGGCTGTCTACGTGGTCTCGGTCAGCCAGATTGGTGACAAGCCGCATCGAAGCGCTGCAAGACATGGCGGCTGCGGGGACGGCCAGCAAACTCAAGACGGACCTCGCCTACAGCCTGTTTGGCAAACTTGTGGACTACTCTGACATGTATCAGACCATGCAGTGGGTGATCCTTAACGAGGACGAGGCCGTGGCCGAGGTACAGTTCCCTTCAGACACCAGTGGGAATTGGTCCATTCCGCCTCACTTCATTGATGGGGTTGTTTCGCTGTCGGGATTCATCTTGAACGGTGGCCCGCACTTTGACAACACTAACAACTTCTTCGTCACGCCGTCCTGGAAATCGATGCGCTTTGCAAAGCCGCTGACTCCGGGCGCTCGGTACCTGTCGTACGTCAGGATGGTGCCCGCCGACACCCATTCGTTTGTCGGAGACGTGTACATTCTGCAGGACCGTGAGATCGTGGGAGTCGTGGAAGGAATTGTGTTTCGGCAGTGGCCGAGGGTCATGCTCAACCGCTTCTTCACTCCTCCAGATGCCCTAGGCGGACCTTCCGCGAAGATGCCTGCTGCAAAGACCGAGCTATCATCCCAGCGCCAGGCTGCTTTGACGCCACCTAGCCCATCTGAGACTTCGGACTCCTCGCTGGTTGTTGTCTCCCACGGCAGCCAGGAAATTCCGACTGGAAAGTTGACTTCCTCAGCTCAAATGGCAGATGATTCGGATCCCGCTGGCTCAGAAGCAGCAGACCGCATCTCCCGCGCACTCGAGTTGGTGGCCCAAGAGCTTGCTGTGGACACCGGACTGCTCAGGGATGATGCGCAGATTGCCGACCTGGGTCTCGACTCTCTCATGTCCCTGGTCGTGGCCCAGAGGCTACGCGAGGAGCTGCGAATTGAAGTTAGGGACGCCTTCTTCCTGGAAGTCTCCACTGTCGGGGACTTGAAGAAACTGCTTTCTTAAAAGGAAGCGTTGAACCAATGTTTTTAGAGATTCACGGTGTTACTGCAGGAAAGAAAGTGATCTGGTGTTGCCCCTGCCTGTCCGCAAGCACACATGCATTGCTGTGACGCTGTTGCTTTGATGCGATACAGGTAGTCGTTGAGTCGTGCCATGCCTGTCCTGAGAAGTGGAAGTACATTGAAGATGGCACCTTTTGTCCTACTACTGCGCGAAATTTAATATACCGCATCGTTAATCGTTTCGGCCATGAGTGGAATTTGTAGCTTATCTAGCTTACTTAATGTCGCGTATCTAGCTGTTCTGGCGGAGTTACTCGCGCACTTACCACCGAGTCCTGTCAGCCTACCGGCCATTCCCAATTTCGGTCGGCTATTTTCAGGACGGAGGCAAGGAACACGAACACGTTGCTGCTTTCTAACCCCGGATCTCAGCCGAAACAGTCAAATATATGCAGTCCGGACGCTCACTGCCGCTCTGTTCCGTGGTCTTGCCAACATGGCCAGCCTACAAGACAACTGCCTGATACGCCGACTGCCATCACATATCCTACAGCACGTCTTCTCATTCCTCCCGCCGCCCACCTTGAAGAAGTGCCGCCTTCTGAGCCGCGAGGGTGAGTCGCTCGCGAACCGCTGGGCATTTTTCCATATCCGACTCACTGCCGTCGGTTGCGACGCTCGACGGTTCATTCGCGTCGCCTCGTCGCCGAAGCTTCGCAAATGCGTGCGTGAAGTCACCTGCGACCTTTGGACAGGCCCGGGCTTTCAGTACATGTATGCCGGTGATAGCAGCGATAGAATCCCCAAGCTTTTTCTCGAGGCACTCCCTCTCCTCCGCTTCTTTTCGCTGGTCCGCGTGGTGCATCTGCGCTTCAATGCGCCGTGCGAACCGACCCTCGACAATGGCTACATCCTTTACAGCATCCCAGCCGATGAGACACAGGATCTGAGATACAGGGTCATGGACACAGTCTTTCGGTGCATCGCGGGCACATGGACCGCGGAGGAGCAGACGCGAATCGACAAGAGTCTTTGTCTCGAGATCGATGCTTCCCGCGACGATGCTGCTGACACGACTGAACCACATGCAGTTCCATGTCCGTGGCCTACGGACGAGAGCCTGCCCTCACTCCCTGTGACAGGTATCACAGTTAGCAACCTTTCCAACATTGAGGATAATCGCCTCACAACCAGTGATGCCTTCAATAGTGTTCTCAGTTCTGGTCGAATAGTCGACCTTAGAATCAGAATCGACAAGGAAAGCGAGGTCGCCTGGCCCAAAAATCCTCACGAGCGCGATTTTCTGTCTATCATGTCCCGAGCGTGGTTGCTGCCGACCATGGCAGAGAACCTGCGTGTGCTATCTCTCTACGCCCCGGACCAATGGACCTGGAATCCTGAGGCGGATTACCGCGACGCAAAGTTGCCTGCGGGCAGCTTTCCCAATCTCAAAGTCCTGGCTTTGGGGCACTTTGCCTTCGGTCCCGAATGGCAAGTTGACTGGGTTGCTAGCCTTGGACGAAAAAATGGGAACGGGGGCTTAGAGGAGCTTTATCTAGACAACTGTTCGGTCATGGACTACACGGGCGACTACAAGGCCTCTGAGCCAACGGCGGCCGCCTTGGCCAGTAACACGGAACCACCCGACATCTTTAGCTCGGGACAGTCGATAGAGGATTCAACGGCCACACAAAGGCATGACTCTACCTCAACCCGTGCGTTCCGCCCTCTTCGTTGGCACATGGTCCTTCGTCACTGGCAGGCGGAGATGACTGCCCTGAAGGTCTTCAAAATGGGCCGTGGTGCGCGAGACGAGGCTCTTGACCTCATAGTGGCGGCGAACGTGGAAGAGAGGCCACCACCAGGCGCAGTGACATACGGTTCGATCGACGACTGGGAGGCGGCAACGCAGCCATTTAGGGACAATGATTTCCGTTACTTCGACTGCCCAACACCACCCGAAGAGATCAAAACGCTGGACTACGACACAAAGTGGCGATTTGGTGCAGGTATGCTGTCCAAGTTGGAACCGGGGCAGAGCCGCCTACCGTACATACATCCATGGACAACGATCGGCACAGGGACTGGTGAATGCAACTTCGTCAATTCATCACTGGTTGAAGCTGAAGTGACGGCTCGAGATGAAGAAGCATTAACGTTACTAATTGAAACGATACAACGGAGGAGGTGCGGGAAGCTACATGTAGGCACGTAAGAATTCTCTTAGTGGGATAGCAGTCTTAATATACTGCAGAAACATGACGGCATGGAGGCAGCCGGCGGTCCACATGGTTCGATGTGTAAGCCAGGCAGGGAGCCTGTTGAGACCAGACTTGAGTCATGGCATTCTTGAACGTCCCGCTTCCAGCATCAGACACCATGCGTCGGCCCGCCCACTCGAACGGCAGCGCCGAACATGCACTATAAAGTTGCATAAGAGTCACTGTTGCAGAGGTTGGAATCTCCATTTATCGAAGGGCCGTCCATGTCTTGAAACCAGACATGAAGTCCTGTCTAAATACAACATTGAAGCCGTGTCACACTCTAGCCAGACCACAGGTACATGTAGAGTTCTGTGAAAAGAAAGGTACCAGAAACTGGGGATTCGGATACAGTCAAGTTCGTCCCGGAGAATTTCGAGACCAGAAGTGAATTTTATGACATTGATGTCATCAATGGCCTTCTTTGCGCCTACTAGCGTCTCGCAATCGTCTGCGCTCGACCTGCTTCATTCTTTGCTTGGAACGCTGAGCTCCTGCCACCATTGTAAAGTGGCAAGAGGGTTCCAGCGCTGGAGGCCATGCCGGCACGCGACAAGCCGCAACGCCTTTGCACTTTGGACGCAAGCTGCCTCCAGCCCTCGTATTCGCTTGTTTGTACCCGTCTCATCGTCGGCTGGCCTGTGGGCAGGGAGCGTGCAACCCGGTCGACCTCGTCTGCCACGCCGCCGTAGAGACCGTCCTTGAGAGCCGTGCGAACGAAGGATGTCGTTTGACGCATGCAGGCTATCGCATTGCGGTCGTGATACCACGTTTGAGGCGTATTGGCCCCAGCGATGCCCAAATTAGTCTTTCTATCGATGCCATGGTATTCGCCGAACCTGTACATACGACCTGCAAGTGTGACTTGTGCTGCGAGATGCGCTTCCGTGTCCGCCCTCTCCTGCACCGAGAAATCTGGACACAGGAGCAGAGGGCTCTGATGGACGAGGCTGGCAAAGTCCATGAGAGTGTGTGGCTGCGTGCAGGTGCGGACCACCCCCGTAGGTCGCAAGACCCAAATTGAGACGAGGAGGCCAATGGATAGGGCGAAGGCGGCATAGAATTTCTCAGGGAGCACAATGATATAGTAGGCAGCTCCGCTGTCCCCGGTGGAGTCCCAGTACGGCAAGAACACAGGCAGTGCGAGGATAAACACGGACCGCCCAAGTGTGGCCAAGAAGGTTCCGTACGCAATCTTGTAGTCGCCTGCCTTGATCGCTTTGGCGATGCAGAACACGGCGTTCGGAGAAAGATAATCCAGTAGCATGCTGCGTTTCCCTGTTGCGCCCTTCGTGCCCCTCGCAAGGCCAAGACGAGCTCGCTCTTCATCAGACAATGCCTTCGTCATGTTGTGAATTGGCGCCATCGTCCTGTTGTAGATATCAACATTGTCGATGTTGTTGAAGAAAGCGTCGATAACCATCGAAAGGAGAAAGCTGAGCAGGAAATTGACTTCCATGTCACCTGCCAAGCCTCCGAAGCGCGAGGAGAGTTTTGGGTAGTACACCAGCTCGGTATCAATCCCCCTCTTCACCATGACACCCATTGCGACGAGTCCAGCGACAGTTAGAACGGAGAGGAGAACGAGGTATGCGTCACTTAACCAGATGTTCCAAAGGCATTCTATTGGAGGGACTTTGCATCGTTCCTCGTCGCGCGTGAAAGGTGGTGAATAGCGCTCATGTATCGCATCCGCTTGGTCCTTGGGGCTCGGTGGCCCGCTGGCTCGGGTGTCGACGGCGTTGTTAACGGCTGCGTCTTGCATTTCGGAACACAAGCCAGGAAAGGTGTTAGCCGGCGGAGGGCTTATGATGGCTTCTGGAGATGTTGAGTCCTCTGGCGGCATTTGAGCTCCGTTCAGGCTCCTTTGCCGTGCTACCTTTGAGTCGTGGTGTAAGAATCGCACACCGTGAACCAGCTCCTGAGACAACTGTTTCCGCCAGTACCCAAGGCGTACGATGCAACCCTGCTTCGGCCAACGAGCCAGGCCATTTGTGAGTGCTCGCGGCCCAGCCGTGTCCAAGTCCGCAAAGCGAGCCAGTATATCGGATCCTTGAAGCAAGGCAGCCTGAGAGGCCAACGAGTACGGTGACCATTTCAATCCTGTTCGTCGCGCGGAGCAACGACAAGCGATACAAACGCTGGAGCAAAGGAGCGATGTATACACCAGAAGGCCACAGAGTCCAAAGAAGGTCGATATTTGTCCCTCAAGGTTCTGCGTGTCATCCGCCTGACGTATGTCGTTTTCGTTTCGCTCGCTCGTCGCCGCCCGAGACCACTGGACGAGGCCTACCTTCACAGGTAACAGCAGGGCTACTAGGACTTGGTTTAGGTAGAGGAAGAGCGTTACAAAGTCCCGGCCTTTGATGAGTGCGACTGCCGACGTAAATCTCCAGGAATTGAAAGGTTGGCTTGCGAGAGGCTCGTGCATAGATTTTTACCCCTTGTGTTTTGAGACTTTATCCTCGGAACCGGAGGAGGCCGCGGCCATTCGCACATATGGGATGAACTTAACGTAGCATTGGTAGCTCGACTTGCAGAGCAGCGAGGTGATGAACCAGGCGACATTGGGGATGTAGAGGATCAGCGGAGTGTCGGTGCTCCAAGATCCATCAGACTTGAGCTGATACATGTAGTCCACCAGGAGTATGGGGCTGTCGCTCGAATCAACGATGACAAGCGACGCAATTGCTGTGATGCACAAGAGGCACCACAACATGGTGAGAATCAAGAACCACAGCTGAAGAGGCCACGGCTTGAAGTCGAGTTTGGGATAACCGAACGCTTGCTCGTCGGAGACGGGGACATGGACGTCTGAAGGCCATTAGATTTCATCGACTGGACGAGTACAGTGGACCTTACCTTCGTCCTGGGAAGCAGTAGCTTGAGTGCCTCCATCCAGAGGCTGCTCGTCTTGCGCGGCATCCATGTGATCTGCTGGGGATGCATGTGGTGAAGCAGAGTCTCCGGAAGCCGGCGCAGGTTGCAGGGCTTCCAGCTCCACGCTGGCATCCATTTAATCACTCGCGGGACAGCTGGCGATCAAAACACAGATTTGCAGTATCTCAAATGCGATGGGTCTGCAGTTTCGAAATCTTTGAGGGGGATCTGAAGGTGATATCAGGCCTCTTTAAAGCTGGTCCCGTTTCGCCCGGTCGAAGCAGGAGCTCAGGTGCAACTTCACCATGAGAGCTGATGGCTTCCTGCTGAATCCTGCAAGCAAGGATTCAAATGCCCGACAACAATGAAGAACTGGATGCGCCCGGATTCCCCCTCATCCTGGGGGTTGTTTGCCCAGCCCCAACATGCACTCGATTCCTCTCGGTAAGCCACAATGTTTGCCAGTCGCAATGTTTGCATCGAAAGTGTCAGCCATTCAGATATAGAGCGAGTCTAGATACGCCTTGCAGCCCTCAATATCCTTGCCCACATAGCCAAGGTACATGTCTGGGCGGACAACCACCGTATACGAGTCCTCCTTCGTTGCCCAATCTGCCAGGAACGTCTTGATCCTCGCAGCATTCTGTGTGGTCTCGTCGCCCGACGACGGAGAGGCCTTGTTGGAATTATCCAGTGGCAGAATTGAGTGAACCACCGCAATGTCCTCATGTCCGAGGGGCATCTCCGCGCGCCTTCCAATGCTCAGCACCAGGAATTTGCCGTATGTCGTCTCGTGGTACAAGCGAGTCGCTTCGTTGCTCAATGTTTGCAGCACAACGTCTGGGCAGCGGTCTCCGGCGTTCCAGAAGCTGTGCCCAGACTCCTTCACGAGCAGCGAACCCATGCCCCGGTAAGAAACCCCCATGCCTGCCTGCGGTCAGCAATCGAAACGGGAGCGGAACTGAGTCATGCGCTTACCTGTGATGTATCCAGCGTTCTTCTGAATGGTGCCGACGTACTGCTTCGCCGTGTGCACCGTGTCCCTCACCAATGCAGCCGCAACGTCAATGACCCCCTGCGCCGTCGTTCGGCGCTCAGTATCGTAGCTCCGAATCAGCGTCTCTGCCGCTCCATCCTTGAGGTTCCCCTGGTTTGCTGCAGCAAGCCTCCATGCAAGGTTGAACGCGTCGGAGATGCCCGTGTTGAGCCCCTGTCCACCATTGACGGAGTGCACATGCGCCGCATCACCGGCGAGAATCACGCGCCCAGAGCCATTCTTCGACACAAAGGACGACGCGATGCGCTCCTTGACGTCAAACGTGCTGTACCACTCTGTCTTGGTAAAGTCCACTCTGTAAGGGGCGAGGTGCTCCTTGATGGATGCCTCCGCGCGCTCTTGTGTAACCTCGCCCTCCAGGAGAACGTAGAAGCGGCACAGCCCCCGCTCGCGAGGAATCCATGACACACGGGATTGACCGTGGAGCTGAAACGTGATGATCTCAGGGCAAACGGGAAAGTCGGTGTCGATAAAGGTGTCAAGCACAGCCCAGAGCATCTCGGGCTTCGTGCCGGTGAACGTGACGCCCATTGACTTGCGAACCGTGGATCGAGCGCCGTCGGCCCCAACGGCGTATCTGCTCAGAACCTTGAAGCCAGATTCGGTGACAACTTCGACACCCTCGTCATGCTCCGAGATGGAGACAACCTGCTCACCGTAGCGAACCAAACCTTGCAGCCTCTCGCTCAGGATTCTCTCCACTACGGGTTGGCCGATCATGAGGAAGTTCTTGTGCAGGGTGTGCTCCAGGCCGACCCACCAAGTGTCTTGCCGCGTCTTGAACTCGCCATCGCCAAAGGTTGAACTGGCTGGAGGGGTGTCAGTGGCTGGTCATACGTCCGCAGCGGAATCAGTGACCTACTATTGCACTTGATGCCGAGAGGTAGTAAATCATCGAGAATCTTGGCTACTTCAAAGTACTGCTGGGTGCGCGCATTCAAGGCATCTGCACGCCCAAGGTCCAGGCTTTGCGGCTTGCCATCTACACAGAACGGTCAGTTCCGCTTCTTCAGGGTAGGCCATGTGGCAGAATTACCGATGATGCACACCGAAACACCAAGGTGGTGTAGAAGATAGCCGGTAAACAGGCCAGTAGGTCCTCCTGTAAAGGCGTGTAAGTCAATGCAATGTGAACGAGGAGGTGCTGGCTGAAGGCGTACCGCCAACGATTGTCACGTCGGCCTTGTGTAAGTTTCTAGTGGATCCGACCGCCATATTGGTAGAGTATCGAGCAGGTGCTAGGCGTGGTTTGGCTGCCGAATGAACAAAATGCCAGCAGATCTGCCGAGGTGAAAACTTGATGATCGCTTGACTCTATAGCCACTCTGGTCGTCTTACTGGGGTAGCACTCTAGTCAACAACGTCTCTAACGAATCCCGCAAGTCACCAACAAGGTAGGAGGTCCCTTTTTGATGTCCGACGGGTCGGCTCGGCAGAGGCAGCGCTCGGCCAGAAGGCGCGGTGCGACAAGTGCCGCCGTCGCAACTTGGGGCTCAAAGGGTGTGTCAGTCACCTGCGGTTTCTGGAACGATGCTACCAACGCCGGTCGCTTGTGCCTTGAAACTCGGCGATCCCACGAATCGACTCATGGACGCTTCGGGTGCTCAGCTAATAAGCTCGGTGGATCTGAGTCCAGACAGGAAAGGCGGGATCCTTCAACGCCCGTAGAACTGGCCCTGGGACGAAAGCCCCGTCGTTGGTGAATCACATCAGTGGGGCGTCCCGGCTGGATCAGACTCCTATTTTTTGGGGCCGCCCGGCTCCAGTCTCGCGTGGAGATTTCTTTCTCGGCTTCCATCTTTTCATCGCCTCAGCCTTTCTGCCGCGTCACCCTGAACCACGAAGCGCATTATGGACTCACTGGGTCCATGAATTTGTTTTCTGCGCGATTCAGCGAGGCGCCACAGTCGCACAATGCGTGAGCGACGCCCGTACGATGAGGCATGAACGATGACGAAGCACACTGACTCTTGCGAGCCTGCTGCGACAAGGCGGTGCGAAAGGGCGTTGTGCGACTGCAACTTTGTGCAGAAGCACCAGATATCGCACACAGGGACTTTCGCATGGGCTTGAGCTCACGTCACTTTGGATGCGACTCTACGAGGATCAGCGCCCTCGGCAGTCGGGCTCGACGATTGCCAGCAGCGACGTCCTGTTGCCTGTCGCGGAAGCCGATGATCTCCCTCTTGATGAACGACGTGGCTTGGAGTTTCCCGGGTCCACCCTTCGGACGAGTGCTGAGTAATTCGGACCGGTCGAGGATCAAATAAACGAATGGAGGAGTTTATGCATACTCCACGTTGGCAGCCGGGCTCGTGCCCCGTTCAGGCAACTCGATCGTCGACCGCTCTATTAACGCCAGGGGTCCTTGCAGGTCGCACAAGCCTTGATTACGGAGCATGATAGTTATGCTTCGCGGATGCGAAAGTTCAAGGCTGACTGCAGACCCGTTCTTCGTGGTTTGGGTTCGGTGACATCCAAGACGCGTGGAACGAGCAACAGGCCAGAGTGCATGGTGTTGCGCTCCTAGTTCTTCGATCTTGACTCGGCTGGTTCCTTTGATCCACCTGCGGCCAACCCGGACCGGGGAAATCCTGGCCGGCATTGCCCACCGTGCGTGCCGCTCGTGTGTTTCTCCTCCAATTGTCAGATTGAGCTCGAGTATCACAGACGAACGTACGGTTGGAGCAGGCGAAATGCCGGCCAATCTTTGAGCAGACCGGCAGGCAGCTCGGCGACTTGATCTTACATGTCGAGTATGCTTCTCCGAGCAGTTGGTGTCCTCCTCGGACCGCTCCTCCGGCATGCACGCGCGCGACGGCCTCGAACCAGGCCACGCGAAATACTCGGTGTAGCGTCTGTAAGAGCCCGCCGCAAAGTTCGGCCGAGAAATCCTCTCGGTCTACCTTAATTAGTAGTGGACACACGGTCGCGCCGTCCGCGCCACCGCGCCTGGGTTAGATGGCCTGCATGCAACGTCAGTTTTGGGTTGAAGTGGGATATGCGATTTGGGCTGGATCCCCTCTCTCCTGAGCCTCCCACCTGTCAACACCCGCTCCATTTCGTCGCCCCGCCCCCCTTGCAGGCTCAAAGACCTTGTTGTCGTGGGGCCGGGGGGCTCAAGTCGGCATTGGGCGGGAGTTCTGGAGTTCAGACGACACCCGCCAAGGCGCGGTGGCACCGATTCCATGGGCCGTTGCGCATCCTCGTTGCATTAGAGCACGATGTCATCCCAAACCGGTGCACCTCCCGAATCCTTGGCGCGTGGAATAGAAATAGGAGCTTCCCCAAACGTTCCAAGTGCAACACTGGCTGTTCAACAAGCTGCAAGAGACCAGAATCCAACCTCGAGCACTCGGATCAGTTACCCTCGTCAATCTTTCCGTGTAACCCTACCCACTTTCTTCGTTACCATCTTTTCGCACTCTGTCCGGGTGGAACTTAAGCGAAGAGTCTCCCGCTCTCTTGTTCCCAAGCACCATTCCGCCCAGTCTATATCTTTCAATATGCCGATGGCGGTAGGACCAGTGTCCGCTCCGGCGGAGCTTGAGGTTCCGGTTCCTAAGGGAGCAGATGCCGATCTCAGTTTAGCTGGCCTCCCGGGCAGCCTACCAACCACGTTGGATACGGAGGCCCTCAACACTGCATCAAAGATCCTGCACGTAATCGACAGGTATCGCCTGAGAAAGACACCCGGAGCCCCGGTTCGCGCCGATGAAGGAGCACTCAAGTTCCTGGCGGTCATCTACAGCCATGTTCGAGCTGGTGAGGCGGTACCGATGTGTCTTCCCGCCTTCCCCTTCAAGTCCCCGAACTCTTCCACAAAGGTGCTTGGCAAATTGCCTGATCGCGCCGAAGAGCTGGCCTTGGCTCACCTGAATGGACTGTGCTTGGCCATTGGCGACATATATCCGCCGGGCGCGAAGCTCACAATTATTTCTGACGGTCTTGTGTACAACGGTAAGCCCACCCTTTCGGCAAGCCTTTATTGAGAGACTGACCGTAGAAGACCTGCTCGGCGTTCCCGACAAAGATGTGTGGGCATACGGGGAGGCTCTCAGGACGCTGGCTCTCCAGAAGGGCTTCACAAATATCCAGTTTTGCCGACTTCGTGATCTCGTCTCGATTCCTCTCCCAGAGCAGCTCGACGAGATGACTTATGTCGCCAACGCGTCAAATTTCCGTCGAGCGCTCCTCAACACGTTCAGCCGTCCGGACTGGGAATGGAAGGTCGTCAGCCAAAGCGAAGACGTCTGCCTGACGTATCGAGGCTACATCAAGTTCCTCGAGACCGACTTGCAAGATGTCTACCCTCTCCGGGATGACCGCACCAAGAGCAAGTACAAGCGAGGAATTGAGTACATTGCAAAGGAGATGATGGCGCGAGGAGATGTACGTTGGAACGCGTCAACCGTCTTACCGAGCAGCAACTGATTGCGAGCAGGCATTTGCAAGCGCCGTGCGCCAAAAGTACCGGGATCACGTACGCCTGTCAATTCACCCTTCGACAGGCGCCGCCAAGCTTTCCATCAGCCTCCTGCCGACGACAACCATGTTCACGACGCCGTGGCATTGCACCGTTGCGGTCAAGATTGACGGGTCCATTGTTTCCGGCATGCGATCAGAGTTTGCGAATGATGAGAACATGGAGCTCGTCCACGAAAACGGGCGACCTAGCTATTTCCGCGAAAAGTCGGAGCTCTTTAAATGGGGAGAAGCCAAGGGTGGGATTACTTGCGAGCCGATCTATCCCAGCGGCTGGCTTATCAGACCAGCCAACGGCTCCGGGACCATGAAGATTGGTGATGTTGATGCAGGCAAGGTTCGAGCCCTCTCCGAGATCAATTCGCCGGTGATTATGAGGGGATTCTTCGAAAAGCCCAATGAGGACGTCTTCATCGAGAAATCCAGGGAGTTTGGAGAGCCACTGCCGTGGAAGTTCGGCTTGTTGCTCAAGGTCAAGGACCACGGCGCCGATACTCGTGGGCTCAACAACGTCCTGTCAGCGGAGTGGATGCCGTTCCACTACGATGGCCTCTTCAAGACGACGAAGAAGATCAACGAAAAAGGAGAGGAATCTCTTGTTTCTGTTCCCCCGCAGTAAGCTTGGCCATTCAACTGCACCGTGAACAATCGTTGCTGACGAGTGGGTAGCTTCCAGTTCTTCGCCGGCGCCACGGCGTCTCCACGAACGACCGGCTTCACGCTCTTCTCATCCTCCACGCAGATTTTCAAGCACCTTCCGGCAGGCTACACCGTCGAGGGCCTGACGGGCAAGACATGGTCAGTGTCGACGTCTTCGTTTGATCAGACCGTGTTGAAGGGCATCCCCCTCATCGAGTCCCATCCGACCACCGGAAAGCCTTGCTTGCGATACCACGAACCTTGGCCGCAGAGCAAGACCAAGTTTGACGCCACGAATGTGAGGATCGAGGGGTGCGACGAGAGTGAGAGCGCCGCCATCTGCGAAGCCATCGACTCGGCGCTGCATGACCGTCGGGTGGCCTACTATCACATTTGGGAAAAGGGCGATCTCGTGGTCAGCGATAACGTTTTGATGATGCACACTCGAAGCGACTTTAACGCTGGCAGCGACCGGGAGCTGTGGCGTATCCATTTTGACTGAGCGCAACGCATCGCGGCAGTCGTGGACCGGACGCCGGGGCCGAAAAGCGGGTTCACGGAGGGACCACTTAAGGACCCCAGACTGGGCAAGGCATGTGCCCAGGCGGGAGGAATCGTGGGGGAAGATCAAGGGCAAGCTCCGTGTTTGTGATTCGCAATTACGGGAGGCTCAGAGGCGAATAGCCGAATAACAGGGAGGACACGGCGCGTGCCGTAGTGCTGTGACGATGGCATGGGAAAATTGCTGAGCTTAGTGGAATTCCTATAGATTGATTTCTACGACGTAGCCATGTTGGTGTTTGCCTGAAGCCCAGCAGCTTGATGTGACTCGAGTCGATCTGGCGGAAGGAGCGACCGCCTCATGCTTTCCCGCCTAGAGAGAGGGCATACAGGTCCCACCCAGGCGGTTAGCGGGTGTGGCTGCCTAAACCCCCCTTACACACCGTGGCCCGCCTGGCGAAGCCACCAAGCTTTCATTCACGCAAGACACTCCCTTCAGCCAAGTCGAGACGATTCAGACCCGGGTTGACGACCCGTGTTCTCAATTTAAAATACCTGGATCACTATATGCGAAGCATTCCGGCGCCTCTGCTTCCCGATACAATGCTGATAGCCCGCCGACCGCTGCACGACCGCAGAATCGGACACTTGTAACGCCCGAGTCGTGCGGCGACACCAGGCACCATGTCGACGTTCGACGGCTGCGTCTCAGAGTTTCCGGACATAAGAAGTTAGGACACTGTAATTTTCCATGCAGAAATTCTGGCATGCTAACTGTTGCAGTCGATTTCTTCCGCGCCCATGCGGGCACGCCTCCTCCGCTGGCCTGCTTTCTTAGCCATGTCCATAGCGACCATCTCGCCGGGCTAGAGAGCCTTCGATCGCCTTTGTAAGTGATTGGCTGTTGAAACATGAGAAGCGGACTAACGAATCAAGTGTCTATTGTTCGGGAGGTACGAGGGAGATACTGCTTCGCCTAGAGAGGTACCCCTGCCGGATCAACTATGCCCAGGGCATATTGGAGACCCGACAGCAGACGTACAAACACCTCAGCAAGGTTCTGGTATGTATTTCTTGTACAGAATGCTCCCAAACTACTGACTTGCTTTCAAGAAGCCGTTGCCTTTAGAGACGTCAACCGTCATCGAGCTGCAGCCTGGTCATCGCATACGGGTCACCCTGTTCGATGCGAACCACTGTCCGGGATCCGTCATGTTCTGTGGGTAGCAAGGAATAATCCTTCAAAATAGCTTGACTAATTGCCTGCAGTGATTGAGGGAGACGGAAAAGCTGTTCTGTATACCGGTGACGTGCGATGCGAGCCATGGTTCGTCAATTCTCTCGCCAGGAATCCCCTCGTTCTCGAGTACGCCTCCGGCATCAAAACTTTGGACAAGATTTACCTCGACACTTCTTTTACCTCGGATGTGGTATTCCAAACGAAATCGCAAGGGATTGAAGAACTGTTGCGAAAAATTGCCAAGTATCCGACAGACACGGTCTTCCACTTCCAAGCCTGGACGTATGGGTACGAGGACGTCTGGGTCGCTCTCTCGAAAGCGCTCGATTCCCCTGTACGTAACTGGCGCGCCGTCTGCAGCTAGGAACGGACCATGCTGACCCGCCAGATCCATGTCGACGACTACAAGATGCGGGTATATGGGTCTCTCAGGTCCCGACTGCCGGACAAGCATTCTACCGTGGACCTTCATCTCACTTCCTCGGCCCCGTCTTTGGTCGGACACATGTGCGGCAACACCGTTGTCCCAGGATGCCTCACGACCGAGACCAACGTTCGTCTGCACAGCTGCGAAAAAGGCAACATGTGCTCTCCCGCACGAGATCCGGCCGTTGTCAGCATCCGACCAGTGATTGCCCATCTGCCGGATGGCAGTGACCTCACCGAAGCCGGCATCGGGGGTGGTGGCGAGGATTTAGAGCGCGAGGCGGAGTTGGCTTTTCCATTCCAGGAGGATCTCGGCGCTCTCATCGAACTGTGAGGCTCCAGTCGTCGGCCGACTCCTATCGTCTGTGACTAACACCACCCAGGATCAGAGCATCCGAGGAACTCTCCGAAGAGAATCGCGGCATGATCGTGAGCGCTCTAACAAATGTTTTCACGAGCGGGCATAACATGCCTCTCAAGCTGGATATTGCTATGAGCGATGGCGAACCTGCAAGCCTTCAGCCAATCGTTCGAGCTCTCTCTCGACTGTCGGGGCCACGGTCGCCCCGAAACATCCCCAAGCCTCAATTATCGGATGGGCTACCGAAGACGATCTACTTTCCCTACTCGAGGCACTCTTCGTATCCCGAGCTGTGTCAATTAGTAGCACAGTTTCGGCCCAAAGATGTATGGCCTTGTACTGTTGACCGAAAGCAATGGATGGCCGACGGTATGCTGACCTCCATTTTGCGCATGCAACCACACCGTCACTGATTTGTTTCACTCAGGGATTTCGATTGCGTCCCTATTCGGCAGGTTTTGCTCTGGAAGCAAATTTGAACACGACTCTCAGATGGCGCTCTGGCCGCGTGCGAAGATGTCGGTACGGGAGTCGGAGGCTCTTGAAACTCAACTGCCGGATCCTGCCGACACGCAGCCGCGCTCGGAGTCTGATTTGGCCCCCGGCATAGCGTTTTCTGAGGCCGCATCCAGCCCGATTCGGCAACCGACACAAAGGGAGTGCCCAGTACCGGATCGAATGGTCAGCTTGTTGCCCGACACGCAGTGCTTTGGCGGTAACCAGCCTTCCAGCCCTGACGTACAGTTTGTGGAGGCAATACCTCGCCAGGGGAGCGAAAGCCACTGCTCAGCTGAGATACAGGCATCAATGCACGAACCACATCTAGCATCACATAAGCGCAAGCGTGAGGATGAGGCTGCGGACAATTACGCCGACGAGGCTTCCGACTCTCAGCGGACGCAGGCCTCCTGGGCATCTGCGATTTCCGCCAGCCACTCGCTCGCTCGGCGTGAGGCGTACGAACGAATGCTCGAAAACGCCGATGGCGGGAACTGGAAGTCAATTACGCTGCTTTCAACAGACGGACACCATACCATTGAGGATCAGGAACTTTAAATCCAGGGAGACGACGCTACGATGGTGGCGTTGTCGACCCCTATCGCCTGTCTGTTGTGGGCAGTGGCCTGCTGTACTTTCGAGGTCTGTGCGCAAGCCGCTCACATCCCCATGGCTGATCCGCTGCCGGCCTCGTGCGGACCATGCCGAGTCCGGGGAGAACGCACATCGAATATGGCTGAGCCGACATAATGTTCTGGCTAAGACATGAACTCTTGAGTCTTTTTGCCGGATGACATTCTGCCGTGTGGGACAAGGTTACTTGTAACCGGGCAGACAGCCGCCGAATCGCCTGGACCAGACGACAAAGGACACCTATATGTTCAGTGTAAATAATGAACCGAAACGGCGCAGAAGGTTCGGTAATTTCTTTCCGTCAAGCCCCTTGATGTGGAACGCCGATGTGCTGTTTCGTTGACGGGCCTAGTGTGACACTTGTTGTCACAGAGCCCAGCCCCAAATCACTGCCCTGAGGGTCCTGGCGGAGTTGCTAGCGGCGGCTTGAGCGCTCCCCAAGCAACAGATCACCAGAAAAACTGTCGAAGACGGGGTAACTTCGCGAGTGACCATTTGGCTATTGAGCATACCGTGTTCTTTGATGGGAAAGGGCTCTGTGCGTCGACAGGCCACGGTGACAATGGCGGCGCTTTAGGGGACTGTGTGTGTCTGGCCCGGGAGTTCAGACGACCTGAAACGTTGTGCGCCGGGGCGGATAACAACGTCGACACCCATATAAAGCAAGGCAGCCGTGGTCGTTTCCTTTCTATTTCGATTGACGGCGAGACACCCTCGATTCTACGTTCTACGATCTCGCGAAACGGGTCCTTCAACACCGTGCCAACTGGGTTCCCGTGCACAGCTCACTGAATGGTCCTTCTCAACGCCACCAACGACGCCCTGACGACATCACACAAACCGCCCTTGCTGGACTACAGTCACGACCCAGACGGTCCGACCACATGATTGTGCATTAGGTGACCATGACACTTTCTGGGTTGCTGAATGTCGTGACATTGGAGCGCGTCTTCGGCTATTCGGTTCTGTTCGTGGTGATCGGCTTCGTGCTGGATTATACAGCACTGCCGCAGCATCCAAAGTCGATCCCGGCGTTTGGCCACGGCCAATCCTTGTGGGCCAATCTGCGCAACAGCGTGGCATACTTTACGCGATACCGATCATGGATCACTGATGGGTATCTGAAGGTGAGCTGCCTGCCCTCCTCGGCGGGTTAGCTACTTCGTGGCTGTAACTGACCTTAGGCGTCATGAATAGTACGGCAAGGAAGGGCTTCCCTTCGTGGTGCCCGCGTCGATATCCCGAGCGTCAGACGTCGTGCTGCCACGCTCTCTGGTATCCTGGTTCATGGAGCAGCCTGACACGGCGCTATCAGCCGACGAAGCACACGAGGGCATCCTGTACGGCAAATACAACTTCCTGGACCCCAGAGTGGCACACGAATCATTTGGCACGCGCGTCATCTACAAGCACCTGTCCCGCAACCTTGCGACGTTGGTGCCCGAGATTGACGATGAAGTCGGCTACGCCGTCGACTTTGCGCTTCGCAACGTCAGCGACGAGTGGACAACCATCAATCTGTGGGACATGTGGCTCGACATTGTCCCGCGAGTGACGAACAGGATGCTCGCCGGGCGCGGCGCCTGCCGAGACGACCTGTTCCTACAGAGCATGATCAGCTTTGCCGACGATGTCGTCCGCAGCTGCATCTTCCTTCGCATGTTCCCAAAGGCACTGCATCCCATCTTTGGCCGTCTCTTGACTCTGCCAAACTGGCTGCACTGGTGGCGGGCGCACAGACGGCTTCTACCGACCATACAGCAGCGACTCCAAGATATGAAACGACAGGCTGAAGGAGCACCGGAACTGGAGCACTGGGTGCCGCCAGATGACTTCATTAGCTGGTATATCCGCCTTGCCTTGGCCGAGCAGAGATTGGAAGAGCTCGATCCGACCGTCATCTCGAAGCATCTCCTGCCTCTGGAATTCGCATCCATACACACCACAGTGCTGACGGGCCATTCCTGGCTGCTCGATCTTCTCACAACCGCCCCAGGCGACCGAGTCCTCGATGTCCTCCGCGATGAGCTGCAGGCGCACAAACCCGCCGCCGGACCGTGGACGAAATCCGCACTCCTATCTCTTGTCCGCGTAGACTCCTCCATCCGCGAGTCCCAGCGACTGAGCAACTTCCACGCCACCCTCGTCGAGCGAGTCGTCGTCTCTCCAGATGGTATCCGCCATCCAGGCTTCGACTGGACCCTGCCAAAGGGCATTTTCGTCACGGTCAACCTCGAGGGCACGCACCACGACGAAGACATTTACCCACACGCGCAGACGTACGACCCGCTGCGCTTCTCCCGCATCCGGGAGGCGTGGGAGAAGAAGCCCGAGGAGGAGCGCAGGGCCGCCGCCGACGAGGGCAGGAAGGTCCTGGGGCTGGGCATGGTCACGACGAGCGACCAGCACTTTGCGTTTGGGCTGGGCAGGCACGCGTGCCCGGGGAGGTTCTTTGTCGCCCACGAGCTCAAGCTCGTCATGGCGCACCTGCTGCTCAACTACGACGTCGAGATGCTGAGTGAACGGCCGAAGCCGCAGTGGGTTGGGTCGCAGGCGCTGCCGCCGCTCAAGGCGCAGATACGGGTGCGCAGGCGACGGTGCGAAAAGGCGTGAGGCGTGCGGCTCTGTGGGATGGATGGGCTCGGGAAAACGCGACGCGTACGACAGCGCTGGCGACTTGTATGCTCTGTACAGTATGTATCATATCATGTGAAGCCTCTTGCAATGCACCTGTATTTGATGCTGCAGAGGAATGCTTCAATGCTGCGATCTACCAATGCTATCCATGCTTCTACTACAGGCCCAAACCAAGGTTTTCGCCGCCCAAGAAAATGCCGCCCGTCATGGTATCTCTCTGCTTCAGGAGGGCCGCCACGTCGACCCGCCCACCGGTAATGTACCGCTCGCTCACGCCCAAGTTCACCCTGCGCGACAGCTCCTCCCTCAGCTGGGCCTTGAGCGCGCCCATCTCGGCCTTGCTCAGCGCGCGCGCCTCCTTCTCCTTGCGCTTGCGCCCGCCGCCACGGCCGCTGCGCCCGAGCGCATTCTGCTGGTCGTCGAAGCCCTCCGAGTCGTACTCGACGCCGAGCTCGTCGGCGGCGTTGCGGAGCCACTGGTCCTCGCTGTGGCCCTTTTCCTTGGCAAGCACGGCGTCGGCGATGCGCTTGGCGAGGTCGATGCGGGGCTTGAGCCGCGAGGCGATTTTGCGATCGACGGGGAGCATCTGGATGATGTGCTGCTTGCTGGCCTTGCCGGAGGACGAGCGCTCGGCGTGCACCTTTGCGGCGAGGCGGCGCGTGGGGATGACCTCGTCGGGGGAGCAGAGGATGACGCTGACGCCGGAGCGGTCGCCGCGGGCGGTGCGGCCGGAGCGGTGGATGTAGGTGTCTGCGGCGCGGGGCACGTGGTAGTGGACGACCTGGTCGACCTCGTGGATGTCGAGGCCGCGCGCGGCGACGTCGGTGGCGACGAGGACGGCGTTGCGCTGGGCGGCGAAGCGCTCGAGGGAGCGGAGGCGGGCCTTTTGGGCCATCTGCGAGTGCAGCGGGAGGACGAGCGGCAGCTGGAGATGTTGCAGGAGGGGGGTGAGGCGGCGGACGGCCGAGATGGAGTTTGTGAAGACGAGAGTGCGGCGGCCGGGGTTGAGGAGCAGGACGGTGTAGAGGAAGAGGTCCTGCGGAGTGGTCAGTTTCCGTGTCTCGCTCACTGAGGTCGAGGTTCGAAGGGGAGGGCTCTCACCTTTTCCATGGCGCCGCATTCAATCAGGCCCTCCTTGAGTCCCTCGGCCATCTGGGTCACGGGGTTGACGTCGATGAATTTGGGCTCGCCGCGGAACTTGAGGCACTTCATCAGGTACGCCATCTTCTCCTCGTCGCTGCCCGACGCGGACGCCTTCTTGCCCTTGCCTGCCAGCTTGGTCTGCAGGTCCTTGTCAAACGTGGCCGAGAATACGAGGGTCTGCCTCTGCGTCGGCTCGTCCTCGTCATCCTCATGCTCAGAGTCTTGATCGGAGCTACCACCCTCGGGATCCTGCCTGTCGAGAGCCCCGATGATGTTCTCCGCCTCCTTGAACTGGCCAACCTTGAAGAGTCGATCCGCCTCGTCGACGACGAGAAAGTCAATATGCGTGAGAGCATCCTGGAGTTTGATGTCGCCGTCCATGACCTCCCACAGTCGGCCCGGTGTGCCGATGACGATGTCTGCCTTTTCAAGCTGGCGCTGCTGCTTCTGGATGCTGAGGCCACCGGTCACGACGCAGATGTATGGCGCCGACGGAAGACCGTCGCATAGCGCCTTGAGGTGATCGGCGAGCTGCTTGGCGAGTTCTCGAGTCGGACTCAGCACCACCGCCATGGGGGCCTTCTTCTTCTTCTGCGCGCTGCCCTCCTCGTCTTCACCCTCGTACTTTTCCAGCCACTTCTCCACGATGGGAATACCGAACGCCAACGTCTTTCCGGAACCCGTCTGCGCCTTGCCAATGACGTCCTCTCCAGCGACAATCTGCGGGATCGCACGCCTTTGAATCGCGGTAGGCTTGGCAAAGCCTAGTTTTGCGATCGCGGAGAGGATGCGCGGCGACAGGTTCAGAGCCACCCAGGCCGCCACGTCGACGCCTGCGTCGTCGTCTTCTTTGGCGCCATCGAGCGCCCCAAACGCATTCTGGCTGTTGCCGCCCCGGGTTTTGTGCGCAGCGGGCTTTTGTAGTAGGGCATCCTCAGCCGAGTGCGCGGCTGCTTTCTTCTTCGTTGCTTTGGCTTGCTGTTGCTGCTGCTGCTTATTCTGCTGGGCCTTGTCCTTCGCACCCTTGCCTTGAGCCGCTTGACCGCGTTGCGCGTCCTCAGCGTCGTCTTGATGATGGCCAGCTTCGCTGGTATCGATATGTTGGCCCTCCACAGGCTCGTCGCCAAACCCTTCAAAAGACTCGTCCTCCGAGACATTGTTGCTGTCGCTCTCGTCGTCCTTGGCGGTGTTGTCCTGCTTCGGCTTCGGCTTGGCGTCGTCGCTCACAACAAACTGCACGCCCTGCGCATCCTTGACCACGTCGACGCCCGTGATGACCTCGAGGCCGCCAAAGTCCTCCTCGCCGACCGTCTCCCAGGCCAACGACGCGACGTCGACTATGCGTCCGGACGGCTTCTTGGGGCCAGACTTGGCCTTCTTGTTCGCGGCGGCGACGGGCTTCTTGGTCTTGCTTCGCTTCGGCTCGGGACCCGTTGCGGCGGGGAGCTTGCGCTTCTTGCTGGACGGCGGCCCCATTGGGAGTAAATATATAGGAAACGGTGAGGCTTCGTAGGACCGCAGCGGCGTCCGTGGGGTGGCTTTTTCTGGCCAGGTTTCTGGGAGGCTGCAGGCGGCAGGGAGAGGTTGTGGCCTGTTTGAGGTGGGATGGATGGATTTCTTGCTGGAGCAAATGCGACCTGAATTTTTTCGGGGTTCAAGAATCAAGACGTCGCATCGGCATGCAGCGCCGCCGACCCACCGACGCTAGCGCTGGACTTTGGAAAGACCCGCCCCGCCGCCGCCCAGCCGTAGCTGCCAATTCTGGAACACCTTGTTCGTCCATTGTCGCAAGTTCACAACACCATGATCCCAACTACAACATCCACGCATATGTTTTCCAACGACTGCAACCCCGACGCGCGTCGGGCAATTGATGGTGCTTGATGCAGTGGCTTCCGACTCGTCGTCATCATACGGTTTTGGAGCACAATGACGTCGGCTCACGTTCCCAAATCTGCCGCGAGTCGTTGCCGTGACTCGTCCGTTGGCTGGAGCTGTGCCCGGTGCACGTATCAGATGCCGGGCTACTTATATCCAACCTGAAAAATGGACTACACCGGCAGGCCGTTCAGCCCATACGCGTCCTTCTCGCCCGGCTGAGCGCCCCTTTCCCCTCTCTGACCCAGTCTTGAGCCGGAAAACGACCATCTCGAGGCCCTGGAACCGTCACCACCGCCACCGCCATCACGCTCCGCCCTGTGCCTTGCCCATCGCTGTGCCCTCTTTTGCTGTGCCGTCTCCCACGTGTTGCTGAGGGAGTCATGAATGCTGTCCCACTTATACCCATACAGGAACGCCAACGTCAAGATCAGGATGGTCGTCGGGATCGCAACCTTCCAGAAAATGCTCTGGTCGAGGTCGGTGTCACGAATGTCGGTCGTGTTCATGCCCAAGAAGCTGGTCACGAACGAGCTAACACACCAAGGTCAGCATCACTGCATCCAACGGACCCTTTGCGATGGCGTTGCGTTGGTGGACTTACAGGGGGAGGAAAAAGGCAGTGACAAAGGTAAAGACGCGGATGGCCTTGCCGTGCCCCTCTTCCAACACTTCAATCTGCTGCTTGATGCGCTGCTGGAAGAAATCGAGGCGATTCAAAAGGCCCTCGGCGAGACGACTCCGAGAAACCAACCGCTTGGCCTCGTCGCTGAGAAAGTTCGCCTCCACCTCGTAGAGCGCCTGCCTGGCCTTGGTCGTGACTCTGTACGACATGGGGTCCAGTATGCGCCCGTAGTTGCCCAGCAGGTGGGCGTGCAGCCGAAATACCCTCTCCACGGCCACCACATTCGTCTCTAGCGCGTGAAGCTCCATGAAGTGCCGCCGCTGCGGCCGTCTGGCGGCTTGGTTTGCGACTCGCACCAGCTGGCGGCTGTACATGCTGAGAAGGTCCTCCTTCTTGCCGTCCATGTGCGTGTTGAGGCCGGCAAGCACCACGCCGAGTATGTACTCGGCTCCCACGGCCGTCAAGCTCACGCTGCCCGCCTGGCTGGTCGTGGTGCTCAGGAGGATGAGGTCGCGCCGTGCGTGCTTGAACCGGAGCTTGGCCTGGGCCATGCTCTGGCGGTGGATCTGAGGGATCTCAAAGGTGCCAGTGGTACTCTGTGCGGCGCCGTACCCCTTGGCGGCGTAGCTCGACGGGACGTAGGAGCTGCCATACGTCCGCGAGCTGCGAGTATCGCGGGAATCCCCAACGACACCTTTGGGCCTCCTCGTCTTCGGCGGCTTCGTCGTACCCGGCGCTTCTCCAATCTCGCAACCGGCTGTGGAGCGGGATAGAACATGCGCGAGAGTGATGTATGAGAGGAGCAGCTCCTCGAAGCCTCGCACCAGTGTGCTCGGCAGCAGTGGCAGCTTCTTCTCGCCCTGCTTGCGAGCGCCAGGGGCGTCGACGTGTTGAACCGAGCGCTGGAGCTCCGAGATGCATCTCTGGATATCTTCCAGATACAAGATGAACAAATTGAGCTTTCTCAGTGTCCGGCTCACCGACTTTTGCACAGTGCGGTCGTGTACTTCCATTGTCCCTTCTACCCAGACGGTGCAGGGATCGTCGAACAGGCGGGCGGGCTTGCCGCAATCCTGGCACTGCGTATGTCTCTCGTGGAGATGGTCGAGCACCTGCTTGACGGTCTGGTACTGGGTGCCTTCTTTGCATGCCTGGCATTCCAGGATGAAGCCCTTAGTATCGTCGTCCCAAGAACCGCAGTAGGGCGAGGCGGTGTACAATCGCTCGCTGACACGATACGCGCCCTGGGCGTGAGCCTGCTTGTAGTGCATCTCGACACACTTGATGGTTTCGTTGACGGTCAGCAGGCGATGCAAAAAAGAACAAAACGCCATGACAAGTATGGCTACCTACGCGAAGGATTCTGTCAATCGCGCCCCAGAGCTTCTTCCAACACCTGTGCACGACCTCCAGCTCCGCGGGCACGAACCCTTTCCCGATATCGAGAGATAGTGTGACGAGCGGACGGAAATATTGTTCCACGACGGTTTCCCAAAGCAGAGACTCCGTGGCATTCTGGAATGGCAAGTCGGATGCGTCAGAACTCGCATGCTGCCCCAAAACACCGCCGACGCTCGCGTTTGGAATCTCAGCAGTCCTGTGTGTAGTGGTGGCATTGTCCGCGCCCCTGAAGATGTCTGCCAGGTACGGATGCCGATACCCAAGCTCGGACAAGCCACACTCGAAACCCCGCTGGTAGACGTATCGGTGGGCTGTCGGACGCTTCCTCGACATGGCCTTGTCGACCCGGTTCAGCAGTCGGTATATCTGGATGTGCGACGGCAAGTTGCCCCCGCCGCCGTCTCGTTTGTGCACGACATTCCACGTGAAGAAGGGATGAATGATCAACGGGACGACGTCATCCGATCCCCCATTCGCGCAAGCTGTGCTTCCGGTAGACGTGCTGCGGGAGGGGAGGATCGTGCCGGAGGCAAAGCCAACCTTGCGCACTCGCTGGTTCTGAGCCTGGGACGACGCGGTGCTTTGCTGCAGATTGCTCGACCTGGAGCTGCCCATTGATGGCTTTCGCAGGTTGTCACGCCTCGATGATGCGCGCTCCGATATGGAACGTGTTGTTTCGGGCTCGGAATCATCGCTCTCTATCGTCGCTTGGAATACCCGCGATCTTGCTCCAGGTAGGGACTGCGTATCATTCACGACGAGGCTTGGTGACCGCCTCGCACCCGATCCCGCTCGGGATGAGTGCCGCGCGTTGGGGGCGACCACAACCACTGGGCCGCGAGCCCTCCCCACCTCTCGCTCATACTTTTCGTATGATTTGAGAGAGCTTGACTCATCACTGGAAGCATCCGATTCTGACGTATAATTGAACCCCTCGCGCCGGTGAAGCACCAAGCTCAGAGAGTCGAGCTCTTCGCGTTGCATGAGGCCGAGCCATGTCTCCGGCGTGAGCTCCTCGTCATCTTCGGTGAATAGTTTGAAGCCTTTGACGTGGCTGCCGTCGGCGAAGAGACGGACCTTGTTGACCACGCATTCCATAAACTCCTGCTCAGAGCAGCCAAGTTAGCACGCAAGGGTGAGCTTTGAAGGGTCGGGTTTGGCATGGTTCGTACAAAATAAGACAGAGGCGGGTCAATGACGAGATGGAAATATCGGGAGTCGGAGTCAGTGATTCGTATGGCACAGGGCCGCCTGGTGCCTCTTGACTTCATCTCAACAGTCATGCTAGAGCCAAGGAGGTCCTTTAACTCAATGTCGCCACATGTGACGATAATGTCTATCGAAAACCACATCAGTCATGATTTGATCCCGGAACAGTCACGTTTTCGAATCGTTGTTCACCACTCACCTGGTCCGAGTAATAGGCACCAAAGATACGCCACGCACACTTCCGAAGTCGTGTCACCGCCAGACATGAGAGACCCCCCTGACGCTATCTGAGCGTCGGCAGCAGCAAAGTCGTGGTCTGGGTGCACATGATATCGGACAGGCGTGGCGGAGGTAGGTGTCGTCTCTGCACTGTTGAGCCACGCCCGCGTCTTTCTCGTGAAGAAGGGGACGCTGATGAACACGACAGACTCGGTGCTCCATTGGCCCCTGTGGTCTCTGTGGTCGTAACGGGTGATGAAGTCACGGCTCCCTAATCCTCCTTGAAAGGGCTCGCTGTTTGTGGAGTGACGGCGATCGCGAAGAAGGGCAAGTGCGACGGTTCTCAACGCCGGATCGGCGTGAGGGCAAGAGTCTATGAGATCCTAGATTGAATGGTCAGCACGTTGATCGCTCGGCACTGGGCATGCGGAGAGCTTTTTACTTCAAAGTCCGCCATGTTCGGGTCCTGGTGCAAATGCCTATGAGTCCAGAATTAGACCTTTGTCTCTCTCGTAACTGGGAATGGGTTCCCACGTACATCCATCGCGTCTGGACAGACTCCTTCTTAGTCGCTGAAGCAGTGTCGTAGCAGACCAAGGTGATGAGACTATCGCCTGCCTCGTCCGCATAGTGGTTTACTTCCCTAATCGTGAGGCAGTCCGTCTTGCCGCCCGTCAGCAGCGTGCTCTTGGCCGCCTCCCACGATCGAGCCGCAGGCTGATGCGCGCCCGGCATCCGCGGCCGCGTGCTCATGCCCCGCAGCGACACCACGGCCGACAGGCTGCTCGATGGGTCCTCCACGCGGAACGGCTTCACGTACGCGCCGTAATGCCGCCGCGAGAAGTCCAGCGGGCGGCCACGATGATCGTAGTACTGCGGGCTGTGCGATCTCCGGAACGGGGGCCGGGGCGGCATCGGCGGGGGCACATGCACATGGCCACGCGTTACCCGGCGTGCGAGATCTGGGCCCCTTTGTCTCGGTGGCACATAGCTGTACTCTTCGTCTGTGGCTGTGGACGGGTCGAACTGCTCATCAGAAAGGCGATCCGACAATTCGTCGTACTCGCTGTGGTTCTCCGACCCAGAGTCCGATTCGGCGTCGGAGTCGCTTTCGTCGCCGTTGGAACTGTACTCCTCGTCGGTCCATTGCGAGTATCCAGAAGCAGAACCGCTGCTCGCCCGCTCGTTTGAGCTGATATCGCCCACTGAGGGAGCCTTGAAGCGGATGGCTTTCCGGCGCGGGCCACGATCACTCATGCCGCTGTGCTGAGCGGGCGCCGAGGCGGCCCAGGTGGCTGGCTTCAAGTCGCGGTTTGCATTGACCTCAAGTCTTGAGAAAACCTCGTGCAAGAGCAGAGCCGGGGATGTGATTCTCAGTATGAATTGATTGAATAGGGATCCGGATGTGAAAAGCCGTGGAGGTTGCGAAGTACGTTATCTGCCGATTGAATCGTGCTAAAGGTACGGCCCGTCCGTTACGCAAGAATAGTTGCACGTCGTTGACTCTTTATTGGGAATCTGACGTGCTGATCGCACACCCAATGGGTTCAAGTCACATCTGTACCACGTCCAGAACAGAATCCAGACTCATGATGATGGGGGTTCATGTCCCTCCCGTTGGAGGGCATGGGCTGAGCGCGGGGCACACCGATGAGAGGCTCTGGTGCATGTTTCTTGGGCTGATGGAGGCGATCGGGCGCGGCTGTGCACCGGCTGGGGCATCAGCTGCATAGCCGGTGGCTGCGCTGGGCTTGAGGCAGCCCGTGAGGCTTAGAAGGGAGACGATAGCCAGCTAATGCATGGAAGGGGATACTAACGCTCACTAGTCACTACCGCCATCGAGAATCCCCAGCCTGTTCAAGTTCCACAGAGCATCACTGAGGTCGCAATTGACTGATCGATACATGTAGCTAATTATCAGCCTTGCCTATTCGCTTGTCAGTGTCTCACGATAGGCCCGTCTTTCTCGTCTCTCTGGGTCGTTGGATCATTCGTCGTCTTACACCGGCTCAATCACAAAGACTGCCAAACATTGAACAGCATGACATTCCTGACAACAACTATGCGTTCCTCGGCCGCAGCGCATACTTGTGCTCCTTCTTTGCCACCACACCAAGCCTCCCAGCCAGTAGCTCCCGCAGCTCCTTGACCTCAACAGCGCCATACGTCTCATCCAGAAGCTCCAGCACACCCAACGCCGAAATCTCCGGATCCCAGCTATCCCTGACCACCACCGCGGCGGGCTCCGCGCCGCCCACCTCGATGAACATCCTCACGATGCGCGCCCAGCGCTCCACGCCGTTTGGATCCGTGTCGTATCGCTCGATCCAGTCTCTCCGCCGGGCGTCGCGCAAGTGCCGCAGCAGCGCGAGCCAGGGCGTCGTGGGCGCGCGCGTCATGAAGTCCGTGTAAGGATGGTTCACGCCCGGGTTGACGAGGTTTTTGTTGCTCCGGGTCTCGTGATGCAGTAGGACGGCGATGAGGGCGGGGTCGGAGAGCGGGAAGATGGTCTTGTTGCGGGAGCAGAGGAACTCGGTTGCGTAGCTGAGCAGCGGCGTGGCGTCCGCGCGCTCCTCGAGTCGGGAGTCCGTATCGTCTTCATCGTCATCGTGGTCTTCCTGACTTCGGTGTCCAAGTCGCGCCTCGAGTTCTTGGGCAACGTACGCAGTGAGGCCAAACTTCACCGCGAGGCACAAAAACGGCTGCCATATCGGCGCCGCCTTCATCCGCACCTCATACGAGCCAAACGCGTTCCTCGCCCAATGATCATACGGATCCTGCGGCTTCCGCCGCCACAGCCCCGACAGCGTCACGTTGAGCTCGTTGACAAACGCGCGCTGCAGCCGCTTCGGGTCCGCGGCGACGTACCGCGCGTGCGTCATGGCGAGGGCAATCTCCGGCCACCAGTCGTCGAGCCTGCGGTGGATTTCGATTTCTTCGAGCGGCTGCTTCAGGCGCAGGACGTAGGAGCGCAGGAGTCGGAGGTGGGCGTCGAACCCGCCGGCTGGGAGGTGGGCGGCGAGGTGGGCGCGCACGCTGGCGCCGTCCATGAGCCAGTCGCGGACTGTGCGGTGGATGTAGGTTACTCGCTGCGCGGGGAGTCGCCGTATGTCGCGAGCGAGCTGATTGGGGTTGTGGGAGCGTGGAACGAGCGGGTTCCCTTGTCTGCCTGGCGAGTGTAGGTCGAGCAGGTTCGCGAACCTTGTGGTTATGGCCTGAACCGTGTTGATGCACCTGTCGCGGATAACGTCGCCGGATGCCTCCTCGATGGCCAAACGGATAGTCAGCTCGTCGTCGTCCTCGCGCAGCGCAAAGGCAAGCTCCCAGATTGTAAGCGAGTTGGCCGAGTCGTCGCGGACAAAGTCGGCGACCAGCTCCCGAGCGCACATCAGCTCGAATATGACAGCTGTCTCGGACAGCTCCGCCGCAGTCTGGTCCTCGAACAGTAACTTTGCAAATAGATTGTCCAGCTCCGATGGCAGCTGACGAAGCATGTCGTACAAGCCCGACGAGCTGTCGGAGGTCGTGAAGCGGGATACCATTTCGTTCGCCGCAAGCCGCACCCAGAGAAACACGCCGTCTGCTCGGTCGACCGCCTCCTTGACGAATGTTTTCTCAACATCGACGTCGTTCCCGAAACAGTTTTGGATGGCCGCGCTCTCACGCAGCCTGTCTCTAGTGTAGCGGTGCATGTCGTCGTACGTGAGGTCTTGCAGCCTCAGATGCGGCACCGAGTGGCCAAAGGCTTCCTCGAAGACTGCCCACGGCCGTGAGGAGAGACACATCTTGATCGAACCGCTGTGCTTTCCCTGGCCCAGGTCTCGGAAGAAGCTGATGATGGTCTCATGATCACCGTCAAACTCATCCAGACCATCGATGAAGAGACATATCTTCTTCGCGGGCAGTGCCGCATCCAGTAAAAGGTGGAAAGCGTTCATGAGCTCCTCGACCGACCAGTCCAGCGTAAGGAGGATGCGCTCCTTCGTCGACATTCCGCGCAGCCTGTCCCAGAGCATCGGAAAAGTGCTCGGTATGAGGTCCATGTTGTCGCTGAGGAGCTGATGCAGCAGCGAGCGGAGCAGGCCAGTCTGCGAGCGCTGCTCCCTCGAGCCGCTGGTCCAAAAGAAGAAGCCAGCCGTCTGCACGGCAGACCCCGCGGCCCAGTCTTGCAGGTTCCTAGCCGTACGTTTGTGGTGGAAGAGAAAGCGCATAAACGTCGACTTGCCCGAGCCCGGCTTGCCGGTGATCCAGTAGATGGGACCGAGCGTGTCCTGCGCGAACCAGGTCGACAGCCCGCTCTTTGCCCCCGTAGTGATGCTGCTGCTGCTACGGTTGGCGTCGTCGGTAAAGACCCATTCAAAGGTCTTGCGGTGTGCTTGCACGACTTCCTCTTCGCGGTCGTGCATCGACTTGTACGCGAGGCTCTCGAGGATGAAGTCGTGGAGCAGGCTGGCCGGGACCGGGCGAGGCTTCTTCATAGCCTCGACGACGGCGGCAGGTAGATGGGACAAGTCCTTCCGACCATTGCTGGAAGCCTTGGTGTTGCTCGCAGACGGGTTGGATGAGGTGTCTCCCGGGTTGGCGTCCTTGTGTAGAGCAGGAGGCAAGTCGCGAGAGAGCGATCTCTCCGTCGTCTTGGCGTCGTCGCGGTCTCGCGTCGTGACTCTGGCGAGGCATGAGGATTGATGAATTGACATGAAGGGTTGCAACTCACTTGAAGGGTATGTCGTCGGGGGATTGACCGACGAGGTGCTCGAGCCGGGCTCCCAGTGCATCGACATCTTCTACACACCATTCATCGCGAAGCTGCGCGCCGCCAATATGTCCGTCGACGATGTGGCTGGACGCATTGAGTCTCTCCAGCTTGAGACACAGCTCTGCCCCGACCTTGCAGCACGCACGCGTGAGGTCGTCGTCGGCGTCACCCGACGCAGCCTGTGGGAGCTGCGACGTAGCGCCGAGCAAACGCTCTTGCAGCGCGTAGACATAAATATCTGCGATAGGAGAAGCATGAGCGGCCTCATGGGTTTCGTCGTAATAGACGGAGGCGAGGAGGCGGTAGAGTTCAACGGCCGCTCTCAGCCATGTGGCGGTCGCCGCGGCGGCAGTGGAGGATCCCGCGCCAGCGCCAGCAGTCAATGGATCGGAGCCCGCAGCCATTTTATAGCATGTAATGGTTGCAGTTCCCTGTCTCTTGTTTTCTTTCAAAATATCTATCTGGAGTGGAGGCAGCACGCCTGTAGTGCGTCTATGCCGCGGTGCGCGCGATCTCAGAGTCTCGCGTGTTCAGGTCTCGGAGACTTGGGAGACGAAAGTTCAGGGGGAGGGGGGATGAGGGGAGCCGCTCCTTTAAATAGCTTTTTCCCCAGTTTCTCACCAGGTCAGGAACGACCCTCGGCCCTGCACATTCGCGGTTTAGTGTGCCGCCTCAGCCGTCTCGCGCGGCCGAATCGCCGATAAACCGGCCCAGTCCGTAGTCCGTACGGCGAGCACCCATCCCCATCCCGACTTACACACTCTCTCAGCGCCATCATCACCAAGCAGCAGCAACTTCACGCGGCCAAGAGACACACACACAACGCGCACACACATCCAATGGCCGCCAGGGTGCTGCTCCTGGCAAGCTGCCTGCTGGCTCTCCAGTCATCATACTCAACCGCAACAGCAGCCATCACCCACGAGTCGCCCGGCCTGCCCATGGTCATCAACACCTGGGGCGGGCCCTTCACGGCCGCCACCTCGGCCGCCTTCCTCGCCCTGCAGCCCCGCCACGGCAGCGGCGACAGCAACTTCTCAACAACGGCGGCGCTCGACGCCGTGCAAATCGGCTGCGCGACGTGCGAGGCCAACCGCTGCGACGGCACGGTCGGCTCCGGCGGGTCCCCCGACGAGGCGTGCGAGACGACGCTCGACGCGCTCATCATGGACGGCACGACGTACGCCGTCGGGGCGGTCGCCGCGCTGCGCAGAGTCAAGGACGCCATTGCCGTGGCGAGGCGCGTCATGGAGCATACGCGCCATAGCCTCCTCGCGGGGGACCAGGCCACGGCGTTTGCGGTGCAGAACGGCTTCGTGGAGGAGACGCTCTCGACGGGGGAGTCAGACGAGGCGTGTAGGAGGTGGCGCGAGGGCGGGTGCCAGCCCAACTACCGCGTTGGCGTCCGTCCAGACCCGTCATCCTCGTGCGGGCCATACACGCCTCTGCTGCTATCCCCATCCCAGGATTCCCTTGGAGTGAGGGCCACGAACAAGGACGCCGACGACGCCGCGCCGCAGTCCTCACGTCGCTCCCACGACACCCTCTCGCTCATCGCGCTGCACCCCTCGGGCCACCACGCCGCCGGCACGACGACCAACGGCGCCGCGCACAAGATCCCGGGCCGCGTCGGCGACGGGCCCATCCCCGGCAGCGGCTCGTACGTCGACTCCGAGGTGGGCGGGTGCGGCGCCACGGGCGACGGCGACGTCATGATGCGCTTCCTGCCGTGCTACCAGGCCGTCGAGAGCATGCGCCGCGGCGTGCCACCAGGGGACGCCGCCGAGGACGCCGTGCGCAGGATGCTGCGACGGTTCCCGGATGTCAAGGCGGGTGTGGTTGTCGTGGATAGGTGGGGGAGGCATGGCAGCGCGGCGGCGGGATGGACGTTTACGTATGCGTATAGGGGGGGCCAGATGCGAGAGGTGAGGGAGGTGACGGTTGAGCCGCTGAACGGAGACGTGGCCGAGCTGTAGAATGTCGCTGTGGAGGTAGTACAGCTGGTGGTATCAAGATAGAGCATGATTTAGAGCGCATGATGCAGCATATTCCTCACACGGCTGTCGACCACAAGTCATCTTGACAAGTGTATGTAACTACCCAAGGTGCTCGAAGCTGTGCATTCGGCCGCCTGGCTATGCAGATGTTGATACACCATAATAAAGAACCTAATAAACGCCACTGATTCTCGCCATGAAGGTGGCCGCCAAATACTCATATCCTCGTCAATGCGTCCACCCGTGCCCGTCTACCATGCAAAACCATCCATTCACATTTCATTCATTCATCCGTGCCGTCTCGTGCCCGGACTTGTTCGTGTCTGTCTGTCGTTACCACGCCTGTTGTGGCCGCTCGAGGAGCCGGCTCTGCCGCCAGTCGTCGCCGTCGACGCCCCCTAGGCGAGGACGAGCTCGCTCCTGCTGCCGACGTCCTTTTCCTTTCGCTTGAAGATGGCCTTGAGCATGTTGTCCTGCCGCATCTTGGGCCGGAACACGGCGTCTAATTCGTCGTCGCCGCCCCGCCTGCCGCGCCCGTCCTCGATGGCCTTTCTCTCCTTGGGCTTGGAGGATGAGGATGACTTTCTGCTCCGCTCGCTGCGGCCCGTTACGCTCTCCGCCTTGCTGCTCTTGCGCTCCGGGATGGCGGGCTCCTTGTCCTTGCCTTTGCCCTTGCTCCTTTCCTTGTCTTTATCCTTGTCACCAGCATCCTTGTGGGACGTCCGGTGCGTCTTGCTCGTCCGGTGCGTGCGCGTGCTCCGCCGCGACCGGAGGTCAAAGTCGAGGTCGTCCTTGGCGTACTTTTCGCGGTGCGCGCGGTCCGCCTCCGGCGTGATGAGCTCCACGTCGGCGCTCTCGTCGTCGGCGCCAAACGGCATGATGCCCCGGCGCCACGTCTCGATGGTGCTCAGCTCCTCGTCCACCACCAGCGCCTCGTCCATGCCCGCGCTGAACTCGCTCTGCGTGCGCATCGGCGCCGGCCGGTCTGCTGGAACACCGCCCTCGTACGCGAGGGCCTCGCGCGCGGCCTGCGCCTCCTTGACCTTCTTGACAATCTTCCAGCCGCCAAACATGACGACCGTCAGGCCCGCGGCGATGCCCGTCCCGATGAGGAACTGCGGCGAGGCCAGCAGCGCAAAGACGGCGGGCGAGCCGCCCTTGAGGAAGCCGAGGAAGGCGGGCGACATCTTGGCCACGGCGCTGGACAGCTCGGCGAGCGTCAGCGCCACGGCGGCGGCCGCGTCGGGTTTCTCCTGGAGGTGCTTGATGATGGCGGTGGCCGAGTGCTGCAGGCAGTGCGCCTCGTCGAGCAGGCCCTCGACCTTGTGGACGAGCTGGTGCGCATTCCACTCGTCGTGGTGCGCCGGGTCGAGGTCCACGCGCGTGGCCAGGTCCGGCGGGATGTTGCCGTACGCCAGGTGCATGTCGATGTCTTTGTTGTTGTTGTTGTTGTTGTTGTTGTTGTTGGAGGGGACCATGGCCATCTCGGGCTCGGAGCGGCGGCGCGGCACCATCATGGACTCGCGCTCCCTGCGCTCGGCCGCGGCGATGCGGTTGCGCACCTCGGCGTGGTTCAGGTCCATCTTGGACATGGCCATGTCGAGGGGCATGGTCTCGGCGTACGGGCTGCGGTAGGCCATGGGCGGCGCCTTGCTGGGCGCCGTGCTGGACACCTCACTCAGCGTCTTGAGGTTGCTCTCGGTCAGGGCCGGGCGGCTTCTGTGGTGGTGATGGCCGTGGCCATGGTGCTTGCTGCTGCTGCTGTGCCTTGAGTGCGACGACCGGTGGCTTCTCCGCGAGCTCGCCACGCTCTGAACGTCGTACGACCGCCGGCGGCCGTAGTAGTCGACGGCGTGGCCATGGCCGTGCTCGTAGTCGCGCGCGTCGTCGTACTTGTAGTTGTAGTCGCCGTCGTCGTAGTCCTCCTCCTCGTAGTACTCGCGCTCGCCGTGGCCGCGGTACGCGCTGCGCGTCGGGTCAAAGGTGTGGCTGCGCTTGATGGACGAGCGCTCGTTGCGCAGCTGCGCTTTCTTGTCCTGGTATGCGCCCTTGGCCTCCTTGAAGATGGACAGCAGCTGCTTGCCCTGGAGAACGTGAGTGAAACGTCAGCGATGATTTCTCGGCTACCTGCTTTGCTTGTGCATCTGGCAGAGGGGAGCACGACGGCAGTCACAAGCAAGGGTGCTGCCTGTCGCACCGCATTTGCGGGGCGTCTCGTGGAATACGGGAAGTCGCTTCGTATGCAGTGAGCTCTTACCGTGCTGATGATCTTGCCCGAGTTGTTGACTATGGTTATCGTCTGCTCGAGCGGCATCTTGGGCGACTGCTGCACGAGGGGAGGGCCAGCCCTTTTTCCGAAAGTGTGCGCAGCAGGAGGTAAAGGATTCGCAGGAACTTGCGAAGACAAAAAAATAAATTGGTCAAAAAAGGGGGTATTGGAAAAGAAAGAGAGGCGGTGATGGATGCGACGCTTGCTTGCTGGAGCTGGAGCAGCAGCAGCAGAACGAGGGGAGGGGAGGGGAGGCTGGAGGCGGAGACAGCCCAGGGACCCGACAGAATCCCCCCACTGCGGCAGCGATCAATGGCGGCGACGGCGGCGGGCACCCGATTGTCGGTGAAGAATAATTAGACGATCTCCCGGAACAGGGGCGAGGCGCTAGCGAGGAGACTGATGGACCCTGGACTTGGGGAGGAATTGAATTGTCAGCGCTCCACCGGTGAGATGGGGGACCCCGACGATGTGAGAACTCGAGGGCGTTTCGTGAGTCGTGACGCACAGCTTCGAGGTCGGGCGAGACAGAGAGAGAGAGGGACGTCGTTGGGCGGACACGCCTGGAGAAGCCAAGGTGCCTGAACACTCAAGTATAGCACACTAGCGGTTTGAAAGGCACGCCTCAGGGTACTGATCATATAGTTATATGCGCACCTACCGTACATACATGCAAAACAAAAGCACGCATGGGACTGCCGGGGCTGCACACACTTCCCGATCCAGGAACCAAGTCACGTCGCATCATCAATCAAGCAGCCAACAACACACGGCCAAGGTAACGGACCTAATACCCTCACTCACTATCACGTAACGGGGCACGTATACGTACAAAATCAGGAATCCCGCGCCCGCCCGGCAGGCTCCCTCCCTCCCCTCGCACTGCCAGCGCATTGATACCTGGACCTCCGGAAGCACGGGTCACAAATCGACACCCCTCGCCTCTGCGTGCGTTGCCGCCCGCCCTCTCCAAGCCTCACCCATCTTACTGTACTGTGCCCTTTTGCCTCACCTTTCTTTGACCTTTCGTTCTCACCCAACTTCCAAGCTTGGCACCTAGCCCACCCACTGCCCGCGCGATTGGATCCCGGCGGCCGCATCCGATGTGTGCGTGCATGCGTCTCGTCAGGCGCAGATGCATATGGCGCTTGGTGGTCCAATGTCTCCGTCCAACCCCCTCCCCCCTCCTCATGTGGTGGCGGCGGCGGCGGGGATCAGGGGACCAGCAGGGCGAGAGGGGCATCGATTGGCAGGGAATCGTGCATGCAGTGGGCGTGACAGCTGGCTGGCGGAGCTGAGCAGGCAAGCAGGGCCGGGTTGCGCCCGCCCGTTACCGTCAATGCTCTCCTCGCTGGCGTCAAACAGGGCCTTGTTCGGCCCAAGGTGAAGAAGCGTAGCGGTGCTGCGATTCTTGGCATTGGGTATCAAAGGCAACGGACTAGCTTACCAGCGTCTTACTTGTACATGCTGATGCCGCGGATCGGATATTCATCGATGGCCGGCATGGCTCCGACTGACGTCAAGAAACAGCGCTGTGCATCAGGTTCTCGCTCTTACACGTACACGTGCGAGCGAAGACGGAGCAAGATGCCTCCGAGATGCAGCCGCGAGCGCGTGGCACCAAAGGCTTCAGACCAGGCGTGGTAGAACTCGACTTGACCTGGTGGTGTTGCTCTGGCACACCGCAGTGCCGGGTAACGCGACGATGACTCGAGCTGCCCTGTGGAGGCCTCTGCTGTACTTGTAACTCATGGAACCGCCAGGGAGGGTCCCGGCAAACGGGCACACAGTCAACGCGGGGTCGTTCCGGGGCGTGGAGCCGACTACAGCTCGTCAGGGGTGCGCTGAATTCTCGCCCATGTCCGGCTTGTCCAGGCGCCGGTGGGCAACACGCTTTCTGTTGGGTTTGGGGGGGG